TGACCCTAGTGAGGATTAAGCGGTGTATAGATGATGGATGGATGTTGGACAGTTTAATTAAAAACAAATTGCATAATGTTTTATTTTGTGAGTGAAACCTGTGACGCTGTCCACAGGGAGGGCTCTGATCATCCCATCAACACAACATGAGTGTCTATGGAAATTTTCATTTAAAAACAGTTAATGTGAGAAAATAATCTTTATTCTGTTCTTAATTTGTTTATTTTTTTCTCATTAGAACAAACAAAAAATCAAAAAGTACCAATAAGAATACGGCTAAAGTACCATATCGATAAACGGTATCGATAAAAGTAGTAGCACCTTTAAAATCTTACCGACACTCATCCCTACCTCCAATAGTGCGTCATGGCATCTTTTTCATATAAACACAGCTCAGAAGCCTACTGGTTGCACTTCTTGTTGCGATTCTAAAAGATGCAGTGAAAAGTTTGTACCTAAATTATGGGTGTGTGCACCAGTGAAACCAATATTAAAAGTCAGTTTGGAGCTCTGCATCTGCCCTAACGGATAGGCAGGGTGTTGCCTTTTACATCTTGGAAACTTGCCCCTCTATCTTCGACTAAAGGGACGCTCGTTTAGTGGAAACTGTGTTTATGTGCACTGTGGTAAGCTGCTTGTAAGGTCGATGCAGCAAGTGCATATCAGATTTATCCTCTCACCGACTACTTTAGTAATACAAGACACTGCTTTCTGATCATTTTGCAGGTTTTTTGCAACTATTCCAGACTTCAACGTTCTTGTTCCAAGCTTGCATGTCTGTCCTCAGGGACACCATGCCCCACACATGTAAACTTCCTGAATAATATCAGCCTTATGCCTGTTGCTGTAGATTCACTTGTCTGACTGTTAACTCTTCTTTCTGCAGACATGTGTTGCTGCCTGGAGCTGTGACGCCATCAAGAGTCTCCCTGCGTTAAATCTGAAGACTGTGAAGATAAAGGAGAATCAAAGGAAAGCGGTTCCGCTGCAGTTTAGATGCTGAAAATGGGATTTTTGTTTTCTTTGAGCTTTTTGACAGTGAGATCATCAGCCAGGTCTGATGGAAAATGTCTTGCCTGGATGTTGTAACTGATGTAACTGAAGTAGCCACAGCTCTTTCAGAGAATAGAGGTCTGGAGAAATTCCCACTGTAAACTTGCCATGGTGACGCTGTGTTCGCCTCAGCACTATAATCTTTCATGAAAACACTGACAATCACATAGCAACTGCTGCTGTAAACTTCTCACTTCCTGTGGAGGAGTATGTGTTATTTAATCTACAACTTGAGTAAAGCCTGGTCCTGTGTGAGATGTTTCACTTCATTGAGGGTCAGGACTGTGTCGATGTATCTCTAATGGATGAATGTTTTTGCAACAGTGAGCATCAGACTTGATGGCTTTAAGTAACAACAGAACACGGTGTCACCTGCCTTGTCTTTGGTTTAAATTTCTCCCGACATCTGTTGCTTTCCTCTGAGGTACACTACGTAGATGCTACGGTTAATCAGTAGGCATGGATGCATAAAATGCTATGTGTAGTTTTTTATTTTGATGTCAATATCATGATATCGTTAAATTACACAAAATTCAGTGTAGAGAGTTTTGGCTAATCCTGTGAATTAATACTTAATGCAAAAAAAAATAAAAAATCCTGATAATTCAATATTGTAATTAAGTAATGATGCAACCAGAGCTTTTAAAGAGATACACCACAGTATGAGCAGCATAGACAATTTTGTGATAGTGGACAAACAACCCTGCTAGCCATTGTTATAATTCCAGGTATTTTTAGCCTGTGTTAATCCTGATGCGATCCTGTTTTGATTAGTCCATCAGCCTGCAGGCAGAGGAATCAATGGAATATCTGTCACTCCAAAAAATACAGCAGTTGCTAATCATTTTATCTAGAAAATAGTAAGAGTACAGCGCATGTGGGGGACATTCAAGATGGAGACTGGGCTACATGTGTGCTCTCAGTTAGGTTACATCTCCATCTTGTAGACTCTGGTTACAAATGACCCACACAAGATGGTATCAACCATTTCTAAGATATTTAGATTTCACTTTTAGACAGTTGGTGGAAATAGTGACGTGTTGTCCATGTTTATGCAGTCTATGATTTGATGCGACTTTGTTCTTGGACTAGTGTCGAGAGCAGCTTATTTTTCTGTCTCTCCTTGAAATTCCACTTCACGGACACATTGCAGGTCTAATTTTCTCCTCAGGTCAGTTTGGCTAAAGATTAAGAGCTTCATCTTTTTCATCTTGATTTAGCACTCCAAGCACATTATTAAGGGATCATTGTGATTTATGTAGCTCACTATTCACTATGTTCTTCACTAGTTAAAGCATCATTAGGGATGAGGAATGAAACATGTAATTTGCCTCACCAAAAAAAAATAAAAATCAGTTACCATGTGGTAATTTGTCATGAGCCATGAATTAACAGGACGCATGCATTTGAGTGATTTTCAGTAAAGCGTTTATTTGTAACGTCACATTTTCAAAGGGAACTACAGATGATGTTTGAACTGTGCCTGTTAAAGGTCTATTGTGTAGGATTTACAGGGATCTGTTGGCAGAAATGGAATCTGTTATTCACAAGTCAGTGTTTAATCACCTGAAAGTAAGAAATGCTGTGTTTTCATTTCCCTAGAATAAAGCCTTGTGTGCACGGAGCGGGCCATCCACATAGTCCACCTTGTTGTACTGCCATTTCCTCAGTTACTCGGAGCGGGCCACCATTGGTTCTCCTTTTGTCTGGAGCCTTACCATTACATACCACCAAATCCTACACTCTGCACCTTTAAAGATACGAAGCCAGTAGTTTTACAAAAATTAGGACACATTTTGCTTTCTAAATTGATATGAACCACACAGTAAGAAGTCCTGTGATCAAAAGTAGAATGTGAAAAATAGTGAGTTTGGAGTTGTTTTGGGAAATGTGTACAATGAACCACAGTTGAAAACTTGCTGATCTCAGAGTCTGTGGTTCTTAACTTGGACATGGAATGACTCCAAAGTTTTCTATTTAATTATACTACCTCGTGTTTATGCACATTTTCACCATTTCTTTACTGAGCTATTGTTTTCATTTTTCCAACAAAGACATTCCTCAGTTAGAGAAGAAACTTGCCGGATTTCATTTTCATGTCAAGTGATGTGTGTTTGTTGGCTGTGTGATGAGTTTTCCTGGATGTGATGATGTGCTTAAAAAGTACTGGATAAATGTACAGTTGTGATCAAAAGCTTGTAAAGACCATGTATGTCGTGGCAGTGTTGAGTTTTCAGTGACGCTTAAAACTTTCCTTTGTTGGGGTCATTGAAACACAGTCATGCATTTTGGTTCTTTAACAGATTTATTGCAGGTCCTCTGGATATATGTCACAATCTGATTGGTCAAAAAATATACGCACATCAACTTGAATTATCAGTTTTGGTGATAAAGAAAACTGTTAAACAAATTTTCTTAGTGGCATGGCCTCTTAGCTTCTCATAAGTGGTTACGATTGACTCCAGCTGATGAGTCCTCTGAGCCTGTTTAAAGGCTCATTTGATCCACTCATCAGACATAAACGCTCCTGTGGGAAAGCACAAACCATCACCTGCTGAGAGACAATTGGTCAGAATAGTAAAGACTCAACCAAAAAGCAGGTCCGCAATGAATTAAAAGCTGCTGGAACACAGATGTCAGCAGCGTCCGTAGTCACACATGTTCCACATCGCCATGAGTCCTTCCTATAGAGGCGGTACCTCACGGCTCTGCTGAAGTTCGCTGCTTGCATGATTGCTTCATGTGTTTGGATGAAAATTTAGTCACTGGACGCTCACAACTGTCATGATGTTCATGGTCTTTAGTGGATGTAAACTTTGGCTCACAACTGTAAAAGCATCACAGATTTTGAATGAGCTGTAGGATTGTCTCTGTTTTTCCTGATGCACTGGGAAAACTGTGTTTACACTGATGCAGATGTTTACACACCTTTAGGTCACTTCCTGTACTTCTGTGAATGACATACCTCAGTTTCCCTCCTTTATTTCACTAATGTATGAATATTTTGTTGACATGATAATCTTGAACTGGAGTAGAGCTGATGGAGGAGCCAAGCTTGACATGATCAGCTCAGACATTCTTTTCATTTTTGGGACTTATTCAGAGTTTTGATTTATTGTATTTTAATTTAGAGGGATATTCTTAAATGTCAAGCAGTTTCAGCAAAGTGTCAAGTGTTCCCTTTGATGCAGATGAAGCTGCCTCTGGATGTTTTCCTTGATGCTGGGATAATGAGAACATAATGTTTGACTAAACTCTAATGACTGATGGATCACTTGTTTTACATGCAACACTCTTCTATGCAACTCTGCCTGCTTGGAGACACTGTGGAACAATCCAATCCAGGACTGGCTCGTCTAGGTTTAGTCCTCTGCTTCTGACTTTATTTGTTTTAGCAGAATTTACAGTTCTTGGTTGTACATGGTTGCTACTAAAGCTATTTGTTTCAGTTGAAATGTTTTTGTTTTTGCTGACTTTGTACATATCAGAGCTCTGTTTCAATAAAGGTGGAAATGCCACAAATCTGTGTGTCCTGTCAGTGTGAATTCTTAGCATGGAGTGGGTAGTGGCTGTGGGAAGGAATTCAGTTAAGATAAAGTGCTGAGGATGTCATGAGCATGTTTGTTTTCATGAGTTACCAAAGGGTCTTGTTGCACTCATTACCTGCAGAACATGGACAGTTGGGACTGATTCAGATACTGATGATGTTTACTGAAGCTGCAGTAGCCTGGGATATGTCCTCTAATGTAGAGCAGTACTCTGAAAATGTATTTTTCCAGGGCATCTGCAGGTCTTAATTGTCTGAGGTCAGATTTCAAGTGATGTTAACTGGTCCACAACTCAGGTCATCAAATCCTCAGTCGCTTACCTTCACATAGGACAAATATGTTTTACATTTTGTGGCTACAACCAGTTAAGCATATTTGTTTGAAAAATAAAATAACATTTACTTTTGATGGAAGATTATTCAACCAATCATGGCAACTCTACAAAGAATAAGTCATTTTTAACAGTTTAATGTATGGCTTCATTTCCTGCAGCTCATCTGGGTTCAATTCACTTTCATTTAATTCAATCATGTCATCAGTGATGATTGTTATTGTAGTTTCTTTTATCCAATTTCAGTTTTATTGTTATAGCACCAGATCATAACATGTCATCTCAGGGCACATAGTTAGGTCAAGACTTTATTATAAGATGCAGATAAACCTAACTTAATGAGGAAGTCAGAAACCCAAGTAGAGACACGGATTTAAGACCAAAGACATTTATTTTACAAAGAATAACAGGCAGACTGTATGAAATGAGGGGAGTGAAATAGACATTATTTAGTATTGTTATTTAATATGTAACATGAAGGCTCACAGGTTGTAACAGATCGTTCCATTTCTACCATCTGTCCCATGTGACATGGAAGCAGCATCGGTTCCCGTTAAAGATATGAATCAGCTCACAAACACAAAGGGTTACACAAACAGGAGGAAATTGTACATTCACAAAGAACCCAGACTGTGTCACTTCCAGGAACTGCACAGCATGCACAACATTTTTGCTGTCTGACTTTCATCAGTGATAAATTATTAGATTTTAAATATACGACTTTTCAGTTGATGTATAAAATATATAGTGTTCTCTTTTTGTTTAACATAAAGATACACAAGCAGCAGGTTACGTAGTAATGAAACCCACGATGGCAGTGTGTTCAAGTGACACAACTGAATGTAATGTGGGATATAAACAACATTTTATTTTTAAACCTCTGAGGCCTTAGTAGTTTCTGGACACGTTGCATTCATTTTTTGGATCAACTTTGTGTTGTTTTGCTCTCAGTCTCTTTTGTAACTCCTCTATGCTCTGTATAAACGCTGCTTGCAGTTCACCTGAAAGCTCTGAATTTTTGCCACCTGACTGTTCATAACAGCTGAGTCGGTCATGGCCGCTCAGTTCTGAGGAGATTTGTTTTATTCCATCTGGTTAATTCTGAATTTGATAGAAATGATATATCATCGACGGATATATTATTATTTACCAAACAGAACCACAGGTCAAACAAGATTCCTTTAAGGACCCTTGTAAAGTTGAAAATGCAGCACTTCTGATTGTGTTGGTGTTTTTTTCAGGATAACATGCCTTTGAGTCCTGCTGGCTGGTTTTGGGGTTCAGGGTTTTTGAAATTCACTTTGAAGAAGGGGCTATTTTATTATAATTTAAAGACAGCGCGAAAGAACAGAAAAAAAAAATTAGTAAATGTATAGTTTTTTTCAATTTGAGTGTATAATGTACGGTTTAAATGAAAATAGGGATGATCAATTTTACATTTTATTACCATGAATTATTAAAAATGTCTTGATTCATTCTGGTAGCGCACTACATACTTCATACATGTTTTCTGTAAAGGCCAGTAGCTGATAACAATAAACATGTTTTCAGTATGGAACCGGAGGGAAGGTTCATAATTATCAGGTTTTCTCTTCCAGTGTACAGTATGAGAAACAGTGAATGCTAACAGTCCCTGTCATGGACAATATTTATCACATGGACCAAAATTATCTTCTGTATTGGTAGTAAACGCTCGGTTAATCCTTGTTCCACACATCATGGACTCTGCAGCTTGAGCCTGAGCTCTGACGAGACTCTGCTTTGGATTTGAATCCGAATCTGTACTTGATAAACCATGTTCTGTGTAATTGAGCACCAACAATAGCGCACTCATTCCCACTCACAGTTTCCCAGCTCTGAAAGGATGCACAGTTGGAATGTGACAGGTCAAACACCATCAGGCACGTCAGCAAGAGGCATGTCTCTGTTCAGGGAATCTACATTACAGGTGTGGCCGTATGGGTCGATAGCACACTTCATGCAGTGTTCCTGTTGGAAGCAGGAAGCAACAAATATGCCAAACTCCTGTTCATTTGTTTTGGGTAGTTGTTCCTTTAGTTCCATCAGTGGGACTGAAGCTTTGTAGAGTCACTCCAAGCAAGTCAGCCCAAATGTAACCGGCTAAATCAGTGAGGTGTATATTCTCTCCAACAGAACCAAAACACAGCAACTTCACACCTGACTTTTTAACATCACACCGTATCATGAAAGTATTATAGTGCCATAGAAAAGTGTCATTTTGTGAATCAAAAAAGCAATAATGTTCACAGATGAGATACAGTATGGAACAGAAGTGAGCCTGTTCAGCATCACTTCAATACAGAAACTGCATTGCTTCTAAGTTTGAAGAGTAGCTATTTGCTTTATTTTTGATGGCAGACTGTAAGTGTGGAAAATGAAAGTTTTTCTCAACTTCAATTTGTAAGATAGTATGAAAAAAAAAGTGCTGATTGTAGTGATTATGGGAAAGTAGTTTTCACATAATTGACCATAAACTCATCAGCAGGACAACAAGGAGCGCACTGCAAGTACCAAGTTTTATATATTACACGAGACAAACCCACTAAAGACATATTAGTGACAGATACAAGGGCCAAGAATAAGCAACTCCTTGAAGGTTAAGGCAAAAAGTTGTGCTTTCAGTTTGGACTGAAGTTCCTTAACAGAGTCTCAGATAGTCTAATGTCCTGTTAAAGCTTCTACTATAGACTCTTTAGATTCCACTGCATTGAGACTTAGTGGGCAAAATCCTCCTTCCCTCAAGTCATCCAACAAGTCTTGAGTTAATCATCATATGGCACCACTCAAATGATTAAAACAAGATCACACTCACCACAGCCAATAACAATCAATCAGACAATCACTTTCTTATCTTCTATAAGAAAACTCATTGTGTCACAACTGAAACATGATGAGTGAATACTGATCAAATCCCTTACTACTCACTGGATTTCCGATATTGTTTCCTTATGGGACAACACTGGTGATGCTTGTCATTTTGCTATCAGCATGCGAAGACACAAATAGTGATGTGTCGGTTCTCTGTGCTTTCCACTGACTTCCCTGTCCTGTCTGTGGAGAAAGGCTCAGTGATTGCCTGGAACAGATGGTCACTGCAGTGTTTAACAAACATTACTCCAACAAGATGAAATTATACTTTTGTCTGGGATTGTTTTTAGCTGCGAATGTGAACATGTTCCAGTAGGTATTTATAGCAGCAGGACATATATAACCACAGGTGGACAAAATAAAAATATTTTTACAAAACCACACGCGTACTTGACTAGAATCCAAAATCCTAATTCTTCTGCATGCATCCACAGTTCATACAAGTCACAACAAAACATGAATAACATTAACATGTAAACTCAAATATTAAAAAACATCAGTAAAGATGGTTTGAACATTAATAGAAACCAACAAGCTTGAACATCTGTTCCATTCCTACAGTCTTCTTTGAAATGTGACAGCTGTGGATTTCCTCTTAATTCGGTTTGACCTTTTATTGTAGTCAGGGCTTCTGTATTGTGTGCACAAAAATGATCTGGCATGTGACTTAACAAAAGATGATTCATTTCTTCTCAGGAAACTACAGAGCAGATAATATGCTCCCTTTGTTACTTTAACTTCTTCCTGATTAATTCAGCTCAAAGGGCAGCCTGCTGTTGGTGCTGCTGAGGTCAGCTGCACTCAAAATGTTACAACATTGCCACCAAGTGGGGAAATGTTCACACTACAAAGTCTACTGAGCTCCAAGCAAGCAAATATCAGACGTATTTAAAACTGAAAAACAAACGAAAAAATTACACAACGGGGGACATTAAATGTTCCTTTAAGCCATGGCAGTGACCCAGTGCACAAAACTGCACCTCACGGGGCGCCGCTATAGCTCACCTGGTTGAGCTGGCGTCCCATGTACAGGGCTACAGTCCCAATGTGGAGGTCATGAGTTTGAATCCTTATCATGACCCTTTCCCACATGTCCTCTCCCCATTCTTCTCCCCTACTTTCCTGTCTCTCTCACTAACACTATCCAATAAAAGGCACAAAGGCCAAAAATAAAATAAAACTGCACCTCCTGCGACTGGAATACAGCCTTCATTATGTCCCTGTTCCTTTCCAGCCAGAGGGTGTCATTTTACTCAGACCTGTGTAGGCGATATTTACAAAAAAAGAATTCAAGAAAGTTGCATATCAGGTATTTATCAGTGTAATTCACCCACTACACAGAGACAAGTAGTCATAACTGTGTCTTGCAGTTCCACTGCAGCTTGTAGCTGCAAATAGTTATTCATGTCATGACATGTACTTGACCTACACAGCTATAATTTAGTTTTTGTAAAGGGGCATTCATTTATTTTTTAGCCACTAGAGGTCAACAGAACGCTTCAAGCACAACATCAGCGACACCTGTCATTCACACTGTCAGAATTCTCACATAGGAAACGTTTAGTTGTTCACTCCACAGTAGGTGGTCAATCACATTGTTCCTTCCAATCATTGTCAGTTTTCATCATCACTAACAGGAGCCATGCAACGTTTCATATTGTTGAACCTCATACCACACAGCAGACATTAAATAAATATTTATTGTCCACTGTACATATATCCTATAATCAGAATCCTGTTTATCCAAAAGAAGTCTCA